ATATTGAAATAAATTACCAAAATTTCCCTTATTGTTTAAAAAATCCGCTAAAAGCGCAGAAATACGCAGTAACCTTCCGGTATGCGAAAATGAGCAAAAATCTGGAAAATAAAATTTGACAGGAAAGCTTCAGATGGGCTGATTGTAAAGAAATGTGATAATTTTCTAAGAAACCATTAGCAAAAAATGTAGTTTTATTTTTTAACGAGACTCCTCTATTATGTTTAATTTCAAATACAGTTGAAGAAATACTGCATAGTCATTCATAAAAAAGGCATCGAAGGAAAAAAGTATGATTGTTACATTAGTTGCAACACCAATTCATGTTTCTATGTATGTATATTTTTATTATGTGACCTCCCTCCAAGGGTACAATTGTCATTATCCTATGAGATGCGATTCATTGGCGGATCCAGAGGCCATGTCCCATCATAAAAGACCCAGAGTTTATATTTGTTAACCTCCTTTATTTGGCAAAGTTTATTTAAATATTTATTTATGCTTCAATTATGTAAATATTTTAAAAACAATATCGTATAGCATCATAGTACCAAGGGCTGATCCAGAAACAATTTTTTTGGAGGGGGGATTTCACAGAAAAAAACCCATCAAGAACGGTGGAGTATACCAGTTCCATGATATTGTAACAAGGTTCCTTGTATCATGGATCTGGTACACTACATACGTCCACTCCGTTCTTTTTTTTTCGTGTCTTTGTATATATATGTACACAAAGATAATATAAATTATAAACGAGGTAAATTATTTATCATAATAGGCTTTTAACAAAAATTGAAAATATAAAGTTTAATAATTATTATATACTTATAGATTTAAATTAAAAATAGTAATATTTTGTTATTCAAATCATTGAATTCAGAACTGGAAAACGACGAAGGATTAGGGTATTATATTTTTCATTTGATGATACCTGTGTCAACAGAAATAATAAATTTAAAATAAAAACGCATGATATCGATTTACAGATTAAACATTCGCTTACATACAAACATTACTGTCCAGGACTGAAGAAAGTCGACAGGTTTTCCCAAAATACGTTTCTTCTTTTTCTTTTTATTAGTTTTCTCTCTTTTTTCTTTTCAGATATTTTATTTCTCTTCTTCAAGTCCTTATTAACCGCGCCGTCTACAGACACCAGTATGATATCCATGCCTTATTGTTTTGTTTCGGGCGCATTGTAATTGCGCGAAATGTCACAGGTCCACGATCACTCGCTTGGCATCTAGAGAGACCTTACTCCGTAGACAGTTTCCGGTTGCGTCGGCCACACTCCGTTGCCATAGCACATCTTTTCAAGCCTATGATCAAGCGGAGTAAAAAAAAATTGAGCTGTCTGGATATCATTTGAGCCTATGGAGAACAGTTGCAGACATTTTCCACATGCGTCTAACGTCGTGACGTGCCCGTTGGGCCCCACAAGACAGCAGGCCAGGGAGGAGGAGGGGTTGGGCATCTGGCAGTCACCAAGCTCGAGGGGTGCGGGCAGGGGCGTGTTGTCGGAACGTGGGCATCAAAGCCGGGGAATATGTGACGACAGTCGCGTCCAATAGCGGCGGCGGGCCCAAAATTCGTTAATGAGGTGACGCGGGCCACGGGTCGACTTCATGGAAGGTTGGTCACTAGATTCCTTGAAAAAGCGGCTAGAGAAGGAACGTCCGGCATTCGAGTTTGAAATGAATCGCGGTGCGGAATGCACTTGTCACTCGGCAGGGGTTAACACTAGCTTCGGCTGCGAGGTGTGGCTGCACGCCACCTGACGGGAGGCCAGGAGCGGCTAAGGTTAGCCGCTGGTGTCTGTGTTAGAGTAGTTATAGTTTGGGGCGGGGATGCCTGAGGGAAGTGCAACGCTGGTTCCTCAGGAGTGTAATTATTGTATAGAAACATTGTAAATAAATCTGTACATTACAACTCCGTGCCTGTGTTTCACTCGCTCCCCGACGACATCTCATACCAGTGCTAAAATTCAGCGAGAATCAGGATTCCCATTCGCAACTATAAGGCTAAGAAGAGAACCCGCGGTAATTTTTTCGATAAATTTTAAGCGTTTCTACATATTTTATCATGTGTTTCCCATTTTTATACTTCCTGCACTAAACCATTTTAATTTTTATTCTCTAAGCCCATGGTATGGCCCGCCTGAATTCGCCACTGCGATTACATGATGCGTAACTCAAGTTGTTGGATATGATGTGTATCTGAATTTGTTTTGATAAAAAAAATATACGTCACTCTTTTACTTTTAGTATATTTTATGAAACATTTTTGGCAATGTTTTAGGCCTTCAAAATCCGCACCTTCGTTATATTTCCTCGTCCTGGGGATACTATATAAATGCCCGACTATCAGTCGAGTGTGATCGGTAAATATAGATTTTTTAAAATTCAAAATGTTATGGTCGAATGTCATATTTGTAGAATGACGCAGGCTTAACTCGGTTCATGTTGCTATACGATTTTTTTTAGTTTTAATGATTATCCGAAAATATTTTTACGGAGTAGAGAGGCTATGAAATGCTGCGCGAAAAAAACGCGAAGTTTCAGCAGAAAAGCTCTTATTACAGAGTCGTGGCAACGAATAAATGGATAAATCCAGTTGCTAAATATACGAAAAAAATCCTCTAACACGTGGTGAAGCCAGAATCCATGTTTTATAGGTTCTTGATACGGAAAAATCGAAAACGTCTGTCTGGCCGTCTGTGAACAACTCTTGCAGCTAAACCGTTCAGCCGATTTTCTCCAAAATTGATATTCTCCATTATATTTGGCTGATGTCGCAGCTCCTGGGACATTTTTCAAATAAAAAATAAAATTAAAAAAGGTGCAGGTCTTGTGTTCTTTGAAATCCCTGATTTTTGGAAAAGCACAGAAGTTAAAAATTATTTCGGTGTGTTCTTGACTACAACCACAATATTAATAATATATATTTGTTATTCCCTTAATAGAATTGGTTCCTTAAATACAGGTTTTGAAATAAAGTCATTTACAATTTTTCGAAAATGTTAGTATTTTCTGCATAATTTGGCGTGAAATATAGGCAATTTTCAATTTTGTTTAAACAATTTTCTCAAAAATGGCTCTGTTTCTGAGGAAATTTTGTTGATAGATAGTCTGAAGGACATGTAAGATAATGGTGTAGTTCTCATGATAGTTAAAAACTCTAATTTTTTGAACATACGTGCTCTTTTAACACAATTAGTTACTTGAAAGTTTCTTGAGAAGTTAAAATTAATAAGTAATTTGTGCCTGAATGTTCACTTCGAAATAATATACAATATAATAACAAATATTGATCTATGAAGACCCCCTCCAAAATAATCAGCCCCTGGGGTGATTATTATAATTTTTTCTGTTGGTATGGAACCTCACCACAAGTTGTTTACTATTACACCAGCAGAAATGATTACAATAACCATAAGATTCAAGGTGATATGTGTGGTGTATATACCCCAGACAGACCACTTCATTACTTATTATTTTATCTTTGGATCTCACATTCAGAATATCATCAAATTACAATATCATGGTACCAACAAGGAAAGGAAAAGAAATCAAATCAAGGTAAATTTATGAAAGAATTGGTTGGATAAACTAATAAGGTATACGACACCAAGATTTCTAGAAAATGTGTCCTTTTGAAGTTGATAGAGTTAAGTATCCCTTCAAAATTGTGTCAATTTGTTATCACACATACCTAAACCTTTGAAACTTCAATCGAGAACAAATACATTCAAATTAAGTACAAGCACTTTCAAATTAGGAACAAATACCCTCAAATTGGGTATGAGCTCTTTCACCAAACTGCATCATACCCAAATTAAGATGTATCATTTTCATATAGAGACCAAGCAACTTCAAACAAGAAGTAAACAGCCACAGTAAACAGTTTTAGATGACAAAAGCAGGTTATGTTGTGTTCTGTTTAGTTGTTCAAAACAGTTTTTCTTATTAATAATGCCATACATTACAAAAAATTAAGCAGAAAGCACCAAACATCAAATATGTGCTTTATTTTACAATAACAGAGATTGGAGAGGTCTAGAAAATACATTTGGAGTAAAAAAAATCTATTGCTTATAGCTGTGAAACACCAAAATGAATGCAAACCATGGAGTGGAAGGAGAAAGTGAAAATTATGGAAAACATTGTAAATTAATTATTGATTATATTGAGAAGAATCCAAGACTTACCCTAAAGGAAATTCAATGCAAAAATTCAAGAAAATCATAAAATTATTGTGTCCTCAGATTGTTTACAGAAATATTTAAACGGTTTATTACTCACACTTAAGGATATTTGCAGAGAAACATAAAATGAACAGCAATGCAATTAAAACAAAACATCACAAATATGTTCAGCAGCTATTAAATTATCAAACGCAATGATTCTATATTATACATGGATGAAACTTTAATTTGTTTAATTCACAAAATTAAGGACATTCTAAGAAAGGAACTACTAGTTAGCAGCATTGAGTCGTGGATCTAATGTGTTTTATCTGTTTTATGGGTAACCTTTAATTAATTTATCAAGAAGCAAGAGGCTTTCAGGAAAGAAAATGCTTACAATTTTTTTCATCAAAATCTCTGTGCTGCTGAAAATATCAACCAGAAGACCATGGTACCGGTAATACACAATGCTTCTTGTCATTACAGCATTGAAGAAATATTTATTGAGGAGGAATTTTTAGGACATCGCCTTTGGAGATTATGCCTCAATAATCCAATGTATAATCCAACTGAACTTCCCAGGAATTCATTTAAATCTGCATTAAGAAAGATCTGTCCAGGCATTGCAAAATATATTAACAGGTGAAGAAAACAAATATACACCCATCAGAATTTCAGTTGTAAATAATCATAATTTAATCTATGTTGTTATTTTTTTTGTGCAATTCAATAAAACGTACTTCCTAATTCATATTCCTGTGCTGTTTTTTATTTAATTTCAATTTTTTTATTTGAATGTAGAGGAACTGAAAATGAATGAGTGAAAGATTTGTTCTCAATACGAATGTGTTTGGTCTCATTTTGAAGTTGAAAAGGTACAACATTCTTACAATGGGTAATTATTTGTACACTGCAATATAAAATACATACAGGAGCAAATTAATAATAAAACAAACTTGTTGAATGCATGATCCCTTTATTGAATAAAGAGGAGATGTCCTTGGACCATGCTACAATGACATTACTCCATTACTGATCATTGGCAGTATTTGCATTTAACATCACATCCTTAACCAAAACTAAATTTCAATGAGAACAAGGTACACTGCAGAGTATCCAGCATTATGTGAAATTCAATGTAATACATACAACACTGTTTTGTTATGTTATGCCAAATGTAAAATAAACGACTTCAAAGAAATACCGTAAACCCTTTAATCTTAATACTAAATGAACAATCCTTAACTGCAGTAAAAGTACAAATACTAGACACCCTCAGTGACATCTAATTAACTTTATTTGGTTTTACATTATTTGTACTTTTTTTGTTTTTTCTTTGAAGCAGTGACTTACCAACATTCTTCACATGTACACCATTGAGAACACTATCAATTTAACATAAGGAAATGTGACTATCTCTAGAGAGATTTAAAAAATTCTAGCAAATACAAAATGTATAAGCAATTTCAAGTTCAAAAGTGCGAAATTTACAAAAGAGCATTAGTGCTTCTAAGAATGCTCAGCCATCACAAATACACCAACTAGATCATACAATTAAGATCTAATGTCAGAGAATTTAAGGATTCCATAATTTTCATTTCGTATAAACATGAATCATGTAAATAGTGGTAATTCTTTGATGACAAAATGTTTCCTGATTCTCCTGCCCTTTTCCCAAACTAATGTATTATCAACAACAATATTTCCAGCAATCTTTGCAAGCAATATGCAACATTGAATATACCTTAAGCCAACCTGAAAAAATTATGGGCACTAACACTGACCTTTGAGAATATGATTCAGTAGTTTTTTAATTCCAAATTTAAATAAAGAAGAGAAAAAATAGAAACACATGAAGTAAATTTTAATAAAATACAGGTTCAAATATACTTAGAAAATATACTGCACTGCACATTTCTGAAAATAGTTTAATAAAATACACTCGATTCCATATATGGTCTCTGATGTCTCAGAACCAATGCACAAAATGCTATTGTAAATTCTAACTATCAATTGCTTTGAAAGAAAATTGAAGGTTTCCAGAGATTTATTTCCAAAGAACTCGTGTTTCCAAGTTAAAGGACAAGAATTCATCTGTCTATGACAACAAGATCATGTATTTCTCTCTATAGATAGTACCTGCATTGCACATTCTAAATCTACATCAAATGCAACCCAGTTACAGGAAAGGGAGAATCTCTTGCATGTACCATATTTAGTTTTAGTTTCTCAACTTACAAGAATCAGGAATATTAACACAATTCTTAGCTCTGACATGGACAACTTCCAAGTGATGAATCTGCTTTAAGCAGTATTCTTTGACTACCTCCTTCAGAGCAACCCACTTTGTGCTAAGTTCAACATAATGTATCAGAAATTCAAATTTTAGATGCAAGGTAAAATTATTTTAGATATGTTTATGGCATTGAAAATCTTCATAAGCTAATAACCACCTTGCACAAACCATATTAAAAGGCATCACAAAATAAACAAAAATACAAAGAAAAGCTACAAACTCATGACTCATCACACCAACATTTCTTTTTTTGCTAGTAAATTCACTGTATATTACAGAATCTTACTTTACTATGTACAATGACCTCTTTAGTAGAAATAAATGCAAAGTCAAAATATTTATATTTTAGAAACAATGCTAGTGGAAAAATAGAAACAGAAGATATGAGAACATATTTACTTCAAAAATGACAATCAAGAAATGTGTTTTGAGACCTCTCGTACATAATATGTAATTTACAAAACTTTCACACAGTTTCATCTTACACTATGAGGACCTCCAGATACCTGTCCAAGCTGATACAATGCAAAAGCTGGCCGAGAAATAGGGAAATGAAGATCTCCACAGGGTTCCTACCACATTTCACACGTAATCAAGGGTCTTCACACGGCCACCATCTCCTTCAGACACAAAGCGTTTACGCCCTCTGCAAAAATCAAGCAATATAACAATGATTATCAATCTTAAGTGCACAACATTACAAATTCAGTCAATGTACTCACCTGGATGGCAATCTCTTTATCACTTCATCAGTTAAGAAACCACCTTTCTGACAACGATCAACAAATCTTTCTAGAACTGTATAGGCCAAAGGAACATCAACGCAAATATCAGGCATATCTTCATACACTCTAAGAAAGCCCTGAAAAGTAAGAGTAAAATAAGGATTCATCTATTTCCATATTTCTCATTAAAAAAATTGTAATTATCAAAAAAATAAAAACAATAGTGAACATTTTTACAAATTTCATACTTTCTCCATGCAACTGTATTGAAAATAAGTCCAGCAATGAGTCTTTGCAATTTAATTAGTATTTGTATACATACAATGAAACTACAAGAGTAAATTATTAGAAGAAACTCAATTTTCTTTCATTAATGCATTTTTTTTGATTTTTAATGCAAGTACTATTATAAACTTTTTCTTTCTTTATTTTTTTTAAAATTATTATTTTAAATCTCCCTTTTAATGAAGAATGACTTACCCTTTCCAACTGATCTGGAGTTATAATGATTGCAGCATAAAATGATTTCAGTAATTTACACATCATCTCTTCAGTATGACCATTAATTGCTTCAATAGTCATTACAACAGCCTGAAAATAAAGATTCAATGAAGGCTACAATATTATTGCATTTGCATAGTTTATTTACAAACTTCATTTGATTCAGAAGGAAATATAAAGACAATATATTCTGTTCATGCTCATAAACAATAGTTTAAAGACTGTTTACAAATCATCATTGTCTATTGCCAAAATTTGAACACATGACAATACCTCATAAACCAGCTCATGATGAAAATGAGGAACTTCCAAATCTTGCAAACACCTCTCCGCTTCATGCAAATCACCAGAGGACAAATATTCTTTTAATAATAAGGTCATCTGGCGGGTCAGGTACTTCACAGGTCGTAGTCCACCACCAACTCCCCACACATTGTCTAATCTTACCAGACCATGCTTCATTGAGAGGAGAGTATCTGCTCGAGCCAAAGCCTCCCTTTGAACAAGTATTTTTTAAACAGGATTATTTATGAAGAACTACCAATTAAACAGCAAGTTATTAAAACTTGCTTTAACAATTTATTTACAAAAATTGATTTCCTGCTTCAGTTGTTACAAAGTCAGAAATCTGTCTGATAATCTCTTATAAGCAACAGCAATTCCTGATATTTAACACAAATTTCTGCCAAAAATAATGCATAAATATGTACCTTGCATAATCACACTCATCTTCTCCTCTATCTTTCTGCTTGTCCTTATAACTTTGAACATATTTTGGAGGCAAGCAGTCATCAGCAACTGCTCGAGCAATGAAGTTCCCCAAAACTGTGGGTGCTTCTGGAGTGTCCAATATGAGATCAGGCAAATTCTTCAATAGAGTGTCAAAAGCTAAAAAATTAAAAAGATCAATCATTAATTCATATAAATTTTCTCAATTAAAATCCCCCAAAATCATTTCGGCAAAAGGAAAATAATGTAAATATAGAAGAAAGAAGGAGGAAGAAGAAGAAGGAGGAGGAGGAGGAGGAGGAGGAGGAGGAGGAGGAGGAGGAGGAAGAAGAAGAAAGAAAAAGAAGAAGGAGGAAGAAGAAGAAGAAAGAAAAAGAAGAAGAAAGAAGAAGGAGGAAGAAGAAGAAAGAAGGAGGAAGAAGAAGAAAGAAGAAGAAGGGAAAAAAAATCAAAGGTGTGAAGTGGAGAGAACAAAATAAAGGATTAACTTGAGAAGGAAAAGAATAAAACTGAAGGAAAAAAGAATTCAAAAACATGACCAGTAATAATTACCTTTCGCGATGTCTCTTTGCAAAACTACACGCCCATATAGGTCTGAAATGAGAACAGAGGTCATTTCACGATGTGATGGCTTGTGTTCCAATGCAATTTCCACAGCCAGCATAGGTATCTGAAATCAAACTTGAAATTAAAAATCATGAAATAAAAATGAAACAAATGTGATTAACATAGTAAATCCAAATAAAATAATCTTGTAAAATATACATTAATTCCATCACATAATGCTAATTTCTACAGTATTGGAGCTACTACAGCATATACTTTCTCATACTATTGGTAATGGTTACATAATTGTACTCAAAACTACAAAAATGTTGAAAAACTGTACAATAAATGATTGAAGGTCCTCATATAGAGAAATACTGCTTGAAGAAAGAAAAACCTAGTGTTAATATTGAAAGTGTACGGCAGGTTTGAAGATTTCTTTGGTTGAGAGTGACTTTTCAGTTTTATTCCACACTCTTCTCAGCTGCCATCTAAATGCCCAAACTTCATTTTTTTTTTACATTTTCTCAATTTTCATGTAGCCTTTCAATGTATAGTCTTTTTGAAAAATCATTTTTACATATTTTTTTGTCATTTCACAAAAAATTACACAGTACTTACTTTTATTAAACAATATATATGCGGAATCATTTCAAGACCTAATTTTGGAGGACATATTTTACTAAGAAAAAATCATCTTAAAAAATGGAGTTGTAAAAGGGGGAAAACACAAAGAAAAAATCCCAAATTTAGAAGTTTGAGTTAAACCTAGAGCTAAATATACTTCATACTGTTTGAGGGACCAAAGTAAAGTAAAGAAGAAAAAAGTAGTTTTTGGAAAAATTTTGTACTTCTGCAATTATCAACAATTCCGTGATCAAAGTAAATGGGACCTGAGCCATTATTTTAAGTGTCTATTATTCTATCATTGGGGAAACAATTGGAGCCTTTTTTGCAAAAATGTTTCCTATACATAGAGTAATGAATAATAATAATAATAAAAATAAATAATAATAATAAAATAATAATATAATAATAATAATAATAATAATAATAATAATAATAATAATAATAATAATAAATCAAAGATTTTTTCCACACTCGCGGGGATTAGATTTCGTTCAATCCATCGAGCAATATCTATCGAATTTTCGATGCCAAAGATCTACAAAAAAGGATTCTGACCTCATAATGTGCTAGAGGAAGTAATTTACCATACACAGGAACAAGATTTATCCACGTTTTCGTTACCAGGACTTGCCAATAAGAGTTTTTCTATAAAAATATCGCCAGTTTTCCGGCAGCAATTCAATACTTTCTCTATACTGCGTAAGTAGTATGCGATGTAGGAAAAAAAAAACCACACCTTATTTGTTCTAAAGTACTATGCGAAAAGTTCAACAGTAAAGATATGGGTATTTCGAAGTCGGTTCTTGCCCCGGTTGTAGGTACATTCATTTCCGTAGTCTTAGCAGCTAAAAGAACCAGAATACACGGCTCAGAGAAAAGACCTTTTGAAGTAGACAATGTGGATGAAAGTCGTAGTGATTAAAATATGTGTCTGTGCTGTCAAAGTTGATAACAAATCCAATTTGTGTTAGTAAAGTATGTAAATTTTCCGCCTAGTTTGGCTGGAATATTCGTAAAACTTAAAGATGCCCCCACTTTCGAAGAATGGAGGGTCTCTTGGAATCAATCCCATTACTCATTTGGCGCAAGGATAAACGTTTAGACGTAGGCATATTCCACAGCTCTTCGTTATGTCCCGAGCCTTCTACACCACAGAAGGAATGGGACGGCTTACAATCTAGATCACTTATTTGCCATGCGCGCATAATTTAAAGAAAACTGCAGTCTTCGTCCCATGGTGTCTGTGGTTTGGTTCGATACATAGGAACTCAGAAAATATACAAAAAACAATAAAACGGTTTCGAAATTGTAAATAAAGAAAATACAATCTTCATTGTGCTTATTCTCGTAAGCGCGTATCGACGAATTCTCGTACACAATCAATCAGTGTATCGTTGCTTACGACTGCTAATGTCACGAGTCAGCAAAGCTCCGAAATATTAGACAAACAAATGTTGCTTTAAGGAACTTTCTTTTGATCATTCTTGGTGTGAAAGGAAATGATTACTGTGCGTGAAATATGCAGAGCAAGAAAAAAATATATTCTAATTTAAAGGAAAATACAGGTATTCGTATTTCAAGTTCATTTCTCAACATTCCGAAAACGTCTCATTCCCACCCACCCAACAAATCTACACTAGACTAAGATAATGCGGATAATGAGTTACTATACCTCGTGAATGTGCACTCTCTTTAGTGAATTAGTACGTTTCGAAAAATATTTCTAAATAATTAATAATAATATTAATGATAATGATAATAATAATAATAATAATAATAATAATAATAATAATAATAATAATAATAATAATAACAACTACTGCCACGAACTTATTTTCACAATACCATATATTTGCATTTTCCCTAGTTTTATTTGAATTTTCAAAACTAACCCTTCTTATACATTTTATGGACTCCTGTACAAAGCAACTGTACATATGAGAACTTCACAATCAACTTACCATAAACCTCTTGGTACCACAAGTGAGCTCTTCAAAGGCAAGGGCTGCTTCCTGAGTGTCACCATGTTCAAAATATTCAAGAAGGATAGGTTCCACGCTCTTTTGAATATCCTCCTCCGACATTTCAGGAATGATGGTCTTAAGCTCAATGTCACCATTTTCAAGAGAGTCACTGTCATAATTGGGATCATTCATGTCGACGTCTGCCTCTTCAAGTTCTGATCCCAGCTTTCCCCACACACCTTTGCCGCCAGCACCTCCTGAAACAGAATGTTAATTATTTAATAAAACAATTTAGTAAAACGTTTGATATATTAGATGGATGTTTGTACTGTTAGAATTACTATTCTTGAACCTGTAGTAAAACATATTTCAACATAAATCAATTAATAAGGTGATATTATTAATGCATTCTATTACATTTTAAATTTGGGTAAAGATAGTTGCTTAGAGATAGTTTTTTAATGGACACGGACCAATACATTTGTAAACTCGAAATTTTCAAATAGGTTTGAAATGATAAATAACACTGAATATAAGAAATTAATAGTATCCTATTTTTATCTGATACCTACATACTTAAATCACAACCCATTACTAAATCGACATTTAATGGAAACTGGTATCAATGTAAACATTGTAAAGAATGTAACATTCTACCTTAGTAAAATATTTTGATAAAAAATACGTTCGACATACAAATGAAAAACAACCTACTAAACTAATCATTTAAACGGTGGCGCGAAGGGGGAGGGCAATCAACCTTCTGGGCGACGCTGCAAAGGAATGGGCAACTCAGTCTTCGTTTACGACACCCCTGTTTAGGCTGATGAACTGTAACCCCAAGTCGTTCGGGTTCGCGAGCCCGCCAGACTAGCCCCCGATGCGGGCGGCGGCCCGCGAAACCGGTTACGGTAACCTGCCGCCGCCGCTCCACCCGCGCCACAGGCGGTCATCCGAGTTCAAACTCACGCCGATTGGCTTCGGCCCCAGCCGAGTGGGCCGGGCCGGACCGGCAGCGCGTTCGCATGTGGGAGGAAGCGAACAACAGAATCGACAAAATACGACGTCACCTCTATGCTAGTGTGCTATAGAAACACCATGAATCCTCCATTATAAATGTTTTATTAGATTCTTCTCGAAAAACCTTGGTACAGCAGTCACTGATTCTTCATCCGACGAGAAGAGTACGTCATCATTCAATTCGAATTATAAGTAAGAAATCTGCGCGTTTCTCTTTTCACCCCCACCCCCCAACTCGATCAAGAAAATTGCAAGACGCACGTTGTCTAACACCAACCTTTCGTGGAAACTATCGAGAGTTGTGACGTCAAACAAAAGCTATTGCGTGTGCGAATGAAATATACTCACTAATCACATTAAAAACCGTAAGTATTTTGAATATTATTATTAATATATGACAATAGTTCGAGCGCCAATCTTAGCCGCACGTATTTACACGTTTGATATGAAGAGGCTGTCATAATGGAGGAATTTGAAAGTAAAGGAATGCTCAGATGAGAGAAAGAAGTGTAGAAGTCGGCAGTAAGGGGGGAGGGACATTTGGAAAACAACAGGCGATGGGATGTGTTATCGTAGCTGCCAGGCCAAAACATTCAACATATTACTTGAATAATGTCAACACCACCACATTAGCATACTCACTATTCATATTATTAATAATACAAACATTTCATACATTTAAGGTGATTACTGAACACGATTGGTGAAGACCGGTAACAAGATATCCGTGAGTGGAAACCCTCGATTTCCAAGTCGTCAACGGACTTTTGAACCGCAACGCTGGGGGTAATAATGAACTAGAAGCGCCAAACGCGAGACGCTATTGATCCGACCCCAGGCGAAGCTCTCCATTCAGAATCCTCGCCCTAGCACGTAAGCCAGCTGTAGGACCTCTGTCGGCCCCACGCGAGTGAATGCCATCAAATTTGGATATTTATGGTGAAAGACTGAAAAGTTCCAAAACGAGGACAGACCCTCTTGGTCCCGCCCTAGAGGAGAAATTCGAGAGAAAAAAAAATTATAACAATAGTGTGCAACTATTAGAACGTCATATCTCGTAATCGATTGATCTACACAGCTTTCTGAGAAAATTCTCTGTAGAGAGAATTAATACATTGCAAGCAGTACAAATTATGATAGCAAACATATTTTGATGGCCCAAACCTGAATTAAAAACAGCAACAAAATTTTAATACTGACCAGCATTTTTTAAATTTCCTGAATACTTGCGTTTAATTTTGTTTACCTTGTTTGGGGGACAATTCCATAGTTGAGGAGATGGAAATAAATATGTATCGCAGGGTTAGAGAGGAAATATCAGTTGAAACTGCGCTAAGGCATGTTGGGGTCCAAAATGTACCCATTAGTATCCTAAAAATGACATTTTTCTTAGGCCTCCGAAGATTAGGTCACAAAGCTTCGAGGGAACTAAAAAGCAGATGAAGAATAGGGAAATAAGAGGGGATTGAAGATGATACGAGCCAAAGGAGAGAGAAGGCATCAACGTGCAGGAAGGACAGCGAAGACGCCTGCTAAACAAACTTACGGGCGGCATTCGTGTGTATGTAAATATATGACTGCGTGTGTGTGTGTGTGTGTGTGTGTGTGTGGCAAACGTCCAGGGAACGGGCGAGTTGCCAGGACGCATCCACCGTGTTCAGGAGCGCAGGGCATCCGCGCGTCCAGAATCTATCAATTACGAGCACCTTGCAAGGTGTTCGGCAAATAATATCCCCAAATCCAAAAGTTGGTACAATGTGAACATGGGAGGTAGTTAATTTATTGGAGGAAAATGGATAGACATGAGATAGTAACACGATGTTTTTATTAACCAAAATCTTCACCTATAGAATAGAACATCTCCTGTAATGAACATGCGAGGAATCCCGTAATGAACATGCCAAGGAGGATGTGAGCGAACATCGGGGTTGAGGTAGACAGAAGAACTGAGTGAATATTTAGGTCTTCTGGTGAGACCTACTCCAGCAGAATAGACCTAGTGATAAACGAGCAGGAACTAGAAATCTATTTAAAATTAAATCGACGGGTTAATAGGCTAATCATGACGAGTCTACAATACTTATATGTGCAGTTCAAGTTCCGACCTGAAATTGGGATCCAGTTGAAGTCCACAGGAGAGACCAAGTTCCAAACACGGAAGAAATCGATGAAAATATTCGTAACAAGCAGAAATTTACTATCCTCCTAGAAAAACTAGGAAGTAGATAAGACTCGGGAAGGGAATTCTTCTCCAGGCTGATTACGACGATCCCTGGACTGACCGAATGAACAGGGGTCTGGAAAGCAGTTAAGTCTGGTCAGGCTGTGTCCAAGAGAAAGGGAAGGGCGATGTGCGGCGCGGAGGCAGGATAGGACGGGCCCCGTGGGGGAGGAAGGGGAAGCATATAAAAGAGCGGGAGGCGGACGCAGCTAGCACAGGCGTGCGTTGCATCAGACTCTCTCCTCTCCCGTGTACATACGAGAGGTTCGCTTCTCGGAAGGGCCCTTCGAAAGCAGAGAGAGCGTCGCTGCTGCCGTCGTTTTGGGCGCACGCTTCCTACTCTTCAAGCCATATCGAACTCAAACGCATTCACGGAAAACTAAAAGCGAATGGCTTAGCAGTAGTAGACGTGTAATGTTAATGAATTTGAGAACAGACTAGATTCCATAAAGTCTCCGTGGAACAGAGAGTTCGAAAACAAATAACTGTTTTAAAATTTGCTGTAAAGCTTACAACAAATAAATGCACGGGTAAATCTTGACATTTAATTATTACATATACACATGACATATTCAGAAACCAGAGACAGGTCCTTTAACAAAACTATTTTGCGAGGCATGCCATTACTTCACAGAGTTCTACATTTTCTTTCAGTTAAAACACTAAATAATAATTTAAATAGAAAATTTCCTGCAACAACCTTTATGAACAATATTTATAACTAGATTAGCGAGGAGCATTAAGCGGATACTTTCATGTTAAAACTTTTTATTTGTGCATTGTAAGTTGTTAATAAAACATTTTAAACATATTACAGTTGTCCGGCTCGTGCATTTTCGGGCATAGAAAGTGACTTGAAAAGTATACATTGTACCGTCAATCTGATGATTCAAGTGGTGACGATTCATGTAAACTCCGGGAAGAGAGTCCACCAATATACTCGTATGTGCAATGAAACAATCATTAACGTATGTTTCTAGAATTCTTCCACAATATTCTACAGAAAACCGGTTGAGAGTCCTACCAATCGATGTCTTGTCGAGAGGAACTGAATAAGCTGTTGATCAGCTCCAAGACACCAACAACGCGTTTTAGTTGCTTTATAAACCAACACAATAAATCACGTTTTTAAAGAAATATCTTAGAATCTTCTGGATCGATCCGCAAAAATGATCAGTTCTCCACCAGGAGACCGAAACAGGCCGAATGCACCTCGTGATGTCTCGATTGGTGGACTGGAAGGGATGGGTGCCAGACGGACAGAGGTTACTTTACTGCAAAAAGATGCTAGGAAGAAATCATTTCAATGAAATCACGACGTAAGTGTAACGGGTGTTAGAATAGTGGGAAAAAGAAATGGATCGGTGTTGTTGAGCCTTTTGCATAAAAAATCCCATATATTTTAAAATAATGGGATAGGATAAGCATAATTTAAGTATTCTGGCCGCCAAATCAATTTCCATATTTAGAATCAAGAAAATATTTTGAGTTGGTTCTTTTCTTTCATTCAATTTCATTGCTTCATGACCATTAGTTTTGTATGATATGATTCAGTGAAATACTTTCGTTCAATTCAATTTTTAGGTTTCCATGACATTAGAACAAATTTTGAAAGTGATGTGTGCTAATGTCAGGGGGTGATAGTTGGTATGTAATTTTAGACTTGCTATCGTGTTTTCCAGTCAATCAGTTTTGACAAATTTAATAGTTTCAAAATCACGTGTAAAGGGTATCATTTTCCCCAGTTCAATTCCAATTTAAAACCTCCATCCATTCAACATAAACATTTCAAACAAATGACTTGTGGTTGAGGTCAAAGTCTCTAATTTTCTTTAAAACTAATTTTAGGAATTATTATTTAGATTACTTAATTTGTTCATAATATTCAATAATCTTTCAAAATTATAAACGTGAGGATATGTTTCTCTCGAATATTCTGTAGACATGAAGAGCATGCGCACTGCTAATTTCGAGAAATGAAATACTTCCTTTCGAAAACAAGGATTCGCTTAGTGTTTTGTGATTTTAATGTTTGTACTCTTAGCATCATCCAGTTTTCTAATGGTCATGTATACTACATTGCATCACAAGGATTGTATCGATCCGAAATGACAAGTCCAATAACAAACCACCCAATGAAATGTGTGCGGGAAACTAGGCACCTGGGCCTAGGATAGCCACGCAGCTACTATCCAATAATACGTCCACGTTTGCTTTTATCGATTTTCATGTGCACCCCCTTCTATCTGTATCAGGCACTAAAACTCACGAAAGTAAATAAACATTGCAAGAATACATGCAATGAACTCGTTAAACTTTGAACTGCACTTTCAGGAAAGAGACTTCTTACCTCACCATCTGAAGCAACATGAGCATTGCGCCAGCGACTATGTCATTTGCAAAGGCAACGGTCTCAATACTGCAGTCAAGTCTTCCAAGAGTCTATTTTGGACGCTCTTGCGATGCCCCATAGATATATAGTTTTTCGAATATTTCGACGATCAGTACAGTACATACATTTTCTGTACAAATAAAACATTTGATATTGTAGAGAATCTTCACAATAGATCACGATGAGCTTTAATCTCGAGTATATTCCAAACATTAATAGTGTCATTTCATACTTTGTTACTTGACGGGCTCGTTCTTTTTAAGCCTTACATTGGGTATTATTTAGTGATGATTTGTCCACGCTATTTAGTAAAAGTATTATACCAGAACAGGGATCGAACATACGATGTTATGTGTGTCCAAGCTGAAGTTACGGCACAGCTGCATATCATACTTTCCTGTTTGCACACGGATGCCCAAGAGCGATGGTAACCTCTTTGCCTTTGTGGGAATGCGCTCGTTCGATACGATACGCATTAAATGTTAGTGCACAAGGCTGACAAGAGCATGTAACAAGAGCAAGATAACTAGATACGTTTAGAGAATAAAAAACAACTTAAAAATAAGTACAGCCCTTTGAGTGTTACATACGTTTCAAATTCTCCCTCTCAGCAATACCAAGGAAATATAACTGGCGACGTCTCTTGAAACAGAACTAAATGAAGTCGGCACATACAATGATTCCCATAAAATATTTATACCAACAATGCATTTAGCATTACCCAATAAAACGTGTCAATCTGAAGTTCTTTGCCATTCGATTTTTAAATTGTCATTAAGTGGTGACATTTGGAAAGTCAGAAAATGGAATATCAACCCAGACCCCGAATTAAAATATTATTCAAACATTTTGTTAATTTTAATTTTAAAAAGGCACTGCATCAGTGAATGAAGACATTCAAAATGTCGCGATGAACCGAAGCCCTTTGTTCTCGGTTCCACAACCCGCCACCCCCAAACGTATTGCATCATCCCGCGCGCAGTCGCATCGTTAAATCAATAGCAGCCCTCGTCGGCAAGGGCGCGGCACCGCGCAAGTAGCGAAGGGGGAGGGCGCGAGCGAGCGACCGAGCGAGCCAGCCGCCTAGCATGGGGGCGTGGCGACGCAATGCGAGGGCTTTCCTGACCTGCACAACGCCGCTTGCGCTGGGGGAGGCTAACAGCTCTTGGGCAGCACGCGTTCGCGTTCGTTACCGACAATTGACACTAGCTTCTCCGAGTACAGCTACTCCTACTATAATACATTATATTATAATAACGTACTGCTAAATTTCGCAAATCACATAACCGCTCGATTTGCTACGTTCTTCGTCAGCAGCATATTGTGGCACGAAATGCCTGCCAAGATGAAAAGATATATTATGCAAGCCATACGTAGTGACACATCAGACGAAATTAAAATGTTTGGTGACCCTTCTAGGGCTCTAATGAGGATTCTGAATTGCACACCATTTTAGTATAAAAATAGTATATAATTATTGATAACTGAAAATTAAAATTTAATGTTTTTATTTGAACATATGCGATGAAATATTCTAATCACATAATCGAAAACAAAATTATAAGTGGGCAACTGTCACGTTTCAATGATAAAATGACATTTCCGCAACCTAAATGCAATGTAATTATGAGGATGCAATCACACACGAACTATGCAAACATTAATGGCTGAAATTAATTTGGCAGAAGTGATATGATAATGATGAATATATAGATCATGCATGGCGTTTTGAGTAGTTGGATATGAAATATTGAGAGAAAACTGTAAATGCACAACGTTGCCCCGTACATGGTTTTCGCGCAGATTGGACGTACAGAAAACGTGCAGTCCAGACTGCATTAATTCTGCATGAAAGCTTTTGAGCATGTTCGTAATTTTTTCATGCAGAAAGCTAAGTTTGACTCAAGCGCCTGTAGCGGGAGAATCATTCACTAACCCGTGCGTTTGTATGACGTGAAATTGTGAGGAACTACCTCCTTCCCAATTCCTGCCCTCCTATTTTCTTTCCTATGCTCCGCATGGTTAATTAATACTTAATACAGATCACACAGCTTAACGCACTCTCAGAAATACCGCCAATGAAAGTACGGACGGCGCAATTCAGTTGTTACCCAATAAGCTACATAGCGGCATCTTGTGGCGATTTATATAGAATTCAGGACGTACAGACTTTTGACTTTTTATACTTCCAGTTTGGGATCTTAAAGTCTCTGTACAGAACAATACAATATAATTTGCCTACATTCAGTGTATTTACTTATTAATATGGGTCAAGATTTTCGATAATTCACTATTCATGGCGCAGTTCTTTGAAAACATTGTTTTCTATCTGAATATCTCGTAGTCGTCAATTAAGGCTCACTTGCAAACGACCTTTCAAAACCTCTTTCAACCCTTTGTAGTTCACAGAAAAGCAAGAGGAAAACTACTTCCTCTTAGGCCACACAGATTGTCCTTCGAAAATACCTGAAGGCCTAACGACGCCCCCATGTGTAATCTCGGCGCATCAGTCAGCACTACAAGAGCTTCCTCGGCGCGAAGATTAGCTTTGCAGGTTTTCCCAAAGGAATTGTAACTGGTTTGCGTCTTTTTCCTCTCAAAACCACCGAAATAAACGTTTCTGCAGAAGTTACATTTTATTTTTTATATAATAAAATGGAAGTTGCCTCCCTCGCAAAGGCAGTGTGCAAAAACCTTTAAAACAATACCATTCACAGTTGTATTCTTTCCTGATATGAGATAAGGGATTTTCGATGAATTAAACGTTAAACCGAATCATATCTTAACCACCACTACATAGAAACCAAATTTTCTGTACATTATGTACACCCGTTGCAAATCATTCCTCTACCTAATCATAATTTCACTAATATTGTATTTACTGAAAAGCAAATTTAGTCACAACCTTCCGACATATTTGTGGATACAAAATTTGTAAAGAAGTAAGCAACACTTTTCAAGGAAGAAAATGTAATAATTCAAAATTCAAATGCTTTTTTTAAAACTTTGTGTTTTGGTATGGTATTAAGTAATTATATTCCAACAAGAGACCTTCAGCAGCAAAAATGAATATATCGCAAACCGAAAAAATCTAGTAAAACACTGCTATAAATTAAATATTTTAACAAAAACATTTTCAAGAAAATGCAATTACATGGAACAATTATATAGTAAAATAGTTCTTTACCACGAACGTAAAGAAAGTTCCTTGTACTTAATGCAATCATGTGCAGCAAATATTTAATTGCATTTGACGGCATCTTCCTTGGAGCCTTGCTGTCTTATGACAGTTGTGTCGTAAGCAGTGACACAATGAGTAAGAGAATTCTGGCAGAAGTCGCAAGCGAGAGGTGGCAGACTCCAAGAAGTGCATTTTTTTCGTGAAAACCGAAATAGTTTCGTAGTTTCTGTATTTTCCAAGATATAACTAAACCCATTTTTGATTTGACTCTCACATGGCTGGATGCTACAGTTTTCTATCAATTTCTGCACGCATTGGAAGTTAGAAATATAAACTATAATTATTTCATAGCTTGGTATTAGAAAAAGCCTTGCAAGTTAATATAAATTATCATTAGACCGAGCTAGAACAGAATTAGCCTTTTTTTTAAAGGTTATTTACTTCTAGTTATAAACTGCAATGTGGGATAAGACTGCATACGTAACGAATGGACACCTTCTATGTGGCTAGGCCAACAATTATTCTCTTTCACATTTCGTCTCTTGGAAAGCCTCCCCTTCTCCATTTACAATAAAGTCGTCATCGCAACTCTCCCGTTAACCCCACATGTGGCCACGGCCTATCTAAACTCGGAGCGGCGGAGGAAAGCGAGAAAGCCAAAACAAAGCAGATAAGCGGAGAGAGCTGAGAAGTGACGCAGAGGCATTGAGGGCGAAGGGTGGCTGATGCAAGGGTTCAGCCTGCCGTCGTGGAACCGTCCAGAGGAAGGGGGAAACTTGTCATCGTTCCGGTCGAGGGGAGAACAGGTGGGGGAGCCTCGGTTACCAGATGTTGATTTGCGTTGTGGTGTGGTGTGGAGCGGTGCGGTGCGGTATGGTGCGTTCTTCTATCTATAGGGGCCAAAGAAAATACAAACCCACTTGCATATTTCGCAACAAAGTTTTCCATTACAAATCTGAAATATACATACTATTTATATTTTACTGTGGATTTGAAGTGGCAAAACGAAGTAACTTAAGCGTCTTATTAAAAGCAATCGCTCTATGCGCAGAAAATAAATATAGTACGGGGCGAAAGTTTTGATAAAATTAAGCATCATACAAATTTCTCAACAAAAGACACAACAAAATGTATTTATAAAATGGTATTACAATTTTCTATAAACTTCAACGGTTTAATCACGGATCTTATAATGAAGTCAGATCTGTATGAAAGAGTGGCGAATTACGTAATCTAATGTTGCTATTTTTCTGAAGATTACATTTAATCACTGTTTTCTATGACACGAATTATTACTTAAACATTTAAAATGCGAAACAATCTAAACGATAGTTCGATTATTCCCACAAAGAAATGCAATTATTGCTATTGATTTCGTTAACGCACAATTCTTGTGACTGGACCGTTCAAGAATAGGAACTCCATATACCCGACGTGGGCCTTCGGCGTAGGCATTCGGTTAAATCGTTCCCGGCTCCTCTACGGCTCGGGAGAGGCCGGCTTCCACAGGCTCCCCAGCTCGCTTCCCGCCGAACAAAGGAGGCTAGCCCGCGCGCGGTGGAGGCTGCGCGGCCTGGTGGCGCGGGCGCCCCTCTCCTCTAACCCTCTCTCTCCCTTCCTCACTCCCTCTCTCTTTTCCGACGAGCACGACGACGACGCGTCGCCCCCTGCCGCGACTCCAAATTTGGACGAAGCACGCCACGACTCTATTTCCGCAGCTCGCACCATAACAACGCTAACGGGCCGCCCTATATATAGGTTCTCCCACCCTAACCTTGACTGGCGGATCGCTGTTACTTGGCC